ATTAATTCGGCAATGTAGCAGGATAAAAAATTAACCAAAGAACTAATATGCATATATGCAAACCATGGACACAGACATTAGTGCAGTGAACGCATGGGGAATGGGTGACAGTGGGGTGGAGGAATCAATTGGGAAAAAAGAGGACATCTGTAATACTTTCAACAATGAAGATAAATTAAAAAAAAATAAAATAAAATAAAAAAGAAGTTACAAGATAGTCATGAAGATCTAAGTTACAGCATAGGGAAGATAGTCAATAATATTGTGATTAAATGTGTGTTACCTGATGAATACTGGAAATATCAGGATGAATACTTTATGAAGTACACGGTTGTCTATCCACTATACTGTACATGTGAAACTAATAGAAAATAATATGGAATATAAAGTGTAATTTAAAATTTTAATTAAAAATTAGTAAAATAAAGATAGGCATCACATGATCTCACTCATATGTGGTATCTAAAGAATATGATACATTAATGAAAAAAATAGATCCAGAGATATAGAGGCATGGAATAGACTGAAGTATCTTAGAGGGAAGGTGGAGGTGGGGCAGGTAGGAGTTATAAACCAGGAACTTTATATGCATACTAGAGGCCCAGTGCACAGATTCTTACACCGGTGGGGTCCCTCAGCCTGGCCTGTGCCCGCTTGTAATCCGGGACCCTTTGGGGGATGTTAGACTGCTGGTTTCAGACCAATTTCCTCCAGGGATATAGCAGTGCATGAAGTGGCAGGTGGTTGGGGAGGAGCCCAAGCCCGGCTCAGGTGCTGCACCACTCCCACTCAATCTGGCCCCCTGTGCCCGCTGCTGCGGCAATCGTGGTAGCACTGCTGTGGAGGTGGGAGAGGCTCCCCCAGCTACAGCTGCGCTTGCCACCTGTGAGCCTGGCATCTGGCTGAGTGGTGCTCCTGCTGTGGGAGCATACTGACCACCAGGGGCAGCTCCTACATTGAGTGTCTGCCCTCTGGTGGTCAGTGTGCATCATGGTTGACTGGCTAAGCTGTTGTAATGGTCACTTAGGCTTTTATACATATAGATATGCATAGCCCATGAACACAGACAATAGTGTGGTGAAGGCCTAGGAGGAGTGGGTCTGGGTGAAGGGGTCAAGGGGGGAAAAGGTGACAACTGTAATACTTTAAAAAATAAGGATACATTTAAAAAAAAATACAGAGATTTTTTTGAGGTTTAAATGACATATAATAAATTTAATATATTTAAAGTATACAATTTGGATAGTTTTGACATATGTATACACCCATTAAGCTATCACTACAGGCTGTCAGGACCAGGAAGTTTCCCCATGCCTACTTCCTGCTCCCTCTCTGCTCCTCACCTCTGTCCCCCAGGGGAACCGCCGATCTGGTTCTATCACATCAACTAGTTTGCACCTTCTAGAAGTTTATCTAAATGGGATCATATAGAATATATTCTTTCATTGCTGCCTTCTTTCACTCAGCATAAGCATTTTGAGATTCATCTATGTTTAACGATGAGTATGTATCAAGGCATTTTTATATTCTTTTTGCTCTTTAGATTATTCTTTTTTATTGGCAAATCCTATACTACTGTACAGATATATATATCATTTAAACTTCAAAAAAAATCTCTGTATTTTTAAAAAATGTATCCTTATTTTTGATACATTTATTAAATGTATCCTTAATTTCAACTCATCTGTTGAAGGGGCTTTGTGTTCTAACAGAGGTCTGTATATGACTTCCATTGAAATTGTGAGGCAGAGGCCACAGGTAACTGGGAACCTTCTGCTTGCCATTTGGAGTCTTGGCCAGAGGCCCTAGGTATCAATGACATTATGGAAACTGCTGGGACTCCAGTTACAGTTCTGTCTCTCTGGCCCCTCACCATGTTCCTTCCCAAGGGGCCTGGAGGAAGTTGGGCAATTATTCCAAAGACTGCTGCTCTAGTTGGAGTCTTGGGACTATCTCCCTATGGGGTCTCTTTCTGATGCTAAAAGGAGATCACCTGCCCACTGTTTTGAAACTGGTAAACAGACATAAGAATCTGTGAAGGTCCTCAGACCATGAAGGTTTGTTCCCTTTCCATTAAACCTGGGTCTCCTGCACACAAACTGAAGATTTGGGAAGCACCACAAAGAATGAGGTATCAAAACTCATAGCTCTGGTTTAGATTAGAAGGGACCCAGAAATCTCCATGGTAGTGTGTGTGTGTGTGTGTGTGTGTTGTGTTGTATGACTTTGTGTGTATATTTGTCACTGACTCACACACTGAATGCCTCCCCTGAGGACATGTAGAAGTCAGAGAAGGCGGTAAGTTTCCTCAGCAATGTATGCCTTATTTTACTTGTGTTTTGTTGCCTGTGTGCTGCATAGAAGAGCTTGCGCATCACTTGTGATTTGAATGTGTGTCTGCCTGTGACTGGAATGTGTGTGGTGGAGGATGCCTGATAGCTATGTGTGTGCAACTGTGTTGCACACATGTGAGCGTATTTTGTGTGAATTTTTGTGTGAGTTTTGCATAGATTTGTGTGACATTGACTCACACTCTGGCTGTATTTACCTAGCTTGAGTGTAAGCCAGGGAAGTCTGTAAGTCTCCCTTTGGCCAGGCTGTGACTGTGATATTGTGTGAGTGTTCTTATGTGTAACAAACGCACATCTTGACTTTCTTCACACAGAAGATATGTAGGATGGAGACTTTACACCAAGATACTGAAAAAGGCCAACAAATATCCTGATTTCATATGTCTGGTCTCACCATAGCTACAGATTAGAACCCACACAGGCAGCTCCAAAAAAATCCCATTTTGAAGAGCTGTTGGGGGCCATTTTCAGTGATTTGAATAATACAGGAGTATCCCCGGAAGCCCAATGTTTTTGAACTTCTTCATCAACTTTGTTACATAGTTTAGAAACTAAATGCTCATATCTGAGGTCACATATGTCTACACTCAACTCTTTGTCTTTTCCCCACTTAATAGCTTTGTGGTCGTACATGCTCAGCAGCCTCCATTGTCAAATGGGAATAATGACAATCACTGTGGAATCTGGTCTATAAGGTGCTTAGCTTCTAGCACATTGTAAGCACTTAGTAATTTGTAGCCTGTAGAGGCCATGACACCTGACTCTCCATTTCCTCAATGCTAGAGGACAATACCTGGTACACTGACAGGAAAATTAGTCCAACAAAGACTCCTCTTGACCTTCAGGCAGCTGCTTCTCCTCTATTACTGAGTGTCTCCCAGCTACCCCTTTCACTCAAGGTGCTAACAGAATCAAGGCACCATTTCAGTATTGTTCCCTTCTCTCAAAATGGGTCTGCTCCAGGAGATATTTGAAAGCCTAGTTGGCTTGCTGGCATACCTTAACCTTGTCAGACACACACACAATATCAATGCCAAGTTCCTCTCCCAAGCTTATGGGTATTTTGACATTCAACATCCACTTAATCATTCTACCTCCCACAGGAAGAAATGGATGAATTCTCTTCCCAATGAAAAGATGATCAGAAAATATACCTTTGAGACCAGGTTGCGCTGGGCAATATCAATGTGAAATTGTGTAAGCCATCCCACTACTGTTAGTAAGTGAAGGAACAAAAACCACCATCTTCTCTACTTCCCAGATACAGAATAAACAATGATAGATTGAGTGAAATTGAAGGTCCATGAAAGCCATTTGCAAAACACTGGGCTGTAAGTCTATGAGTGGTGACTGCTGTCTGAGCACAAGGACTTCCTCAAATCCTGAGACTATATTTCTTAAGGTCCTCACTCTTTTGTCTAATTAAAAAGAGGGAGAAACAGAGGGTCATAGGAGCAAAGATTCCAATAAATCTAAGAAACATGAGAGAATTGAGACTACAGCAGTTACTAACTATGTGATCATGATAGTTCTCACAACTTCTGAGTATGTATATGATGAAGTTTTACAACATCTATCTCCTAGAACTATTGAAATTTAATATGGCAATAATGCAAAAATGTATTGGTTTGACAGAGTGCTCACTAAATGTCAATTATTATAAATATGAAGATCACTACTAGAAATAGTGGTGGCCAACCAGGTAACAGTGAATCCTAAAAGATACTTCCCATCAGGGTGCCCAGTTCTCACATGCCAGACATGAGATCTCAGGATTTCCTGCCTGTGGATCCTCATTTTGGAGCTATCTTGAAACACCAGATGCAGATGGAGATAGATGCACTGAGGTAAGTTTACTTCTTCGCAAGAAGATGAACATGCATTAAGACTAGATTCACCAGAACATTTACCCAATGACAGGATGTGAGCTCTGAAATGCTTCTTGAGAAGGTGAGAGCTCAGATAAGGTAGCACAAAGAGCTAGATCAGCTCCTTGGCCCTTTGCGCTGATCTTCTCAAGATGCTGTTTGATTAAATTCCTTCATTTGATCTTGGCTTTATTTGGGTAGTTAGCACATCAGAAAAATACTAATTAATATTCTGTGTGTTTATTTTATACAGACACTGTTCTCATATATTAATGTGCCTTGAATTAGAACCCTATTATTAACTCTAGGAATGTATGATATTAGTATCTTCACATACTGAGGCACAAAATGTGGCCACTATAGATTCAGCTCCTTAAGTCAGCTGCCCAGAGAGTGATATCACCAGACTCCCAGCACAAGGAATCTACTTGCAGAGCCTTAACTTCACTCAGTCCTCTGTCAGGTGTGCCCAGACAGTCAGAGGGCAGAGGAAAGAAGTCCTATGTGTCCCACTTATTCTTGCATCTCTAATTAATAGCATAGTGCCAGGAACCTAGGTGATTAAAAAAGAATAAGGATGAATTTGTTCTGGTTTCATTTGAGAGAAGACTATATTGGGAATTAAAGTCGTGTTGCTTGCAATAAACTCTAGCAGATTACATGAATGCAAGGGATGTTATTTTCTCCAGGAGAAAGTAGGAAACCCTACAGTGGTGACCATAATCACATTTTCAAAGTCTCTGGCCTTTTTCATCAACCTTTCATCCACAGAAGAGTGAAGAGCAGCATGATGTTTGAGAACCAGAGCAGCGTGTCCCAGTTCCTCCTCCTGGGGCTCCCCATCCCACCAGGACAGCAGGACGTGTTCTTTGCCCTGTTCCTGGGCATGTACCTGACCACGGTGCTGGGCAACCTGCTCATCATCCTGCTCATCAGGCTAGACTCCCGCCTGCACACGCCCATGTACTTCTTCCTCAGCCACTTGGCCTTTTCTGACATTTCTCTCTCATTTGTCACTCTCCCAAAGATGCTCAGGAACATGCAGACTCAGCATCAATCCATCTCCTATATGGGGTGTATTTCTCAGGTGTATTTTTTCCTACATTTTGCTTCTCTTGACAATTTCCTTCTGGTTGTGATGGCATATGACAGGTACGTGTCCATCTGTCACCCTCTGTACTACACTAGTATCATGAGGGAGGAGCTATGTGCACTGCTGGTGGCTGGTTCTTGGATAGTTGCCTGTGTCCATTCCCTCATTCATACCCTCCTCTTGGTCCAGCTATCTTTCTGTGCTGACAATACCATCACCCACTTTTTCTGTGACCTTGCTGCCCTCCTGAAGCTGAGCTGCTCAGACACCTCTCTCAATGTGCTGGTCATATTCACTGAAACAGGAGTCATTTTCTTTCTTTGTCTTGGTATTATTCTGGGCTCATATGTCCGCATAGGGATCATTATTCTGAGAGTCCCCTCCACTCAGAGATTCTTTAAAGCCTTGTCTACCTGTGGCTCCCATCTCTCTGTGGTGCTGTTATTCTATGGGGCACTTGCTGGTGTTTACTTTTCTTCCTCCTCATGGGGTTCCAAAGACATAATTGCTTCAGTCATGTATACCATAGTTACCCCAATGCTGAACCCCTTCATCTACAGCCTGAGGAACAGAGATATAAAACAGGCCTTAGACATGTGTGTCAATAGGGTTAAGTTCTTTAAGCAGCAACCACTAAATTCTCTTTTTGCAATCAGGAGCACAGTGAGATAGATCTCCTGAAATTATTGTATGGTTGATATCTCCATACAACTTTCATACAATATACTTGCTATCACATGTATAGTGTTGTTAATCTGTCATCTATGTTGAGTTTTCTTCTTGAATTCTTAATAATTTTCTATTCCCAATTAATATTTTTCATATGTCCATCATCTCTTAAAATATACTAGAGACCTGGTGCATGAAATTTGTCCCTCAGCCCAGCCTGCACTCTCTCCAATCTGGGACCCCTTGAGGGATGTTCAACTGCCCATTTAGGCCTAAACGGGCAGTTGGACATCCCTCTTACAATGTAGGACTGCTGGCTTCCAACTGCTTGCCTGCCTTCCTAATTGCCCCTAACCACTTCTGTCTGCCAGCCTGATCACTCTGTAACCACTCCCCTGCCAGTCTGATTGATGTCTAACTGCTCCCCCGCCAGCCTGTTTGCCCTAACTGCCCACCCCTGCAGGCCTAGTCACCCTTAACTGCCCTCCCCTGCAGGCCTCGGTTCTCCCCAATTGCTCTTACCTGCAGGCCTGGGTCCCCCCTAACTTCCCTCCTGTGCCGGCTTGGTCACGCCTAATTGCCCTTCCCTGAAGGCTTGATCACCCCTATCTATCCTTTTTTGCAGGCCTGGTCCCTCCCAACCGCCCTCTCCTGCTGGCCATCTTATATCAAGAGGGAGGCAGGTTCTTTGACAACATGGAAGCAGCCATCTTGTGTATTGGAGTGATGGGCAATCTGCATATTACTCTTTTATTAGATAGCATAGAGGCCTGTTGCATGGGTGGGGTGAGAGGGTGGGTGGTGGTGGTGGCTGGTTTGCTCTGAAGGGTGTCCGGGATCAGGATGGGGGTTTCCTTGGGGTGTGGGGCAGCCTGGGAGAGGGGCCTGTGGTGGTTTTCAGGCTGGCCACATCTTTTTCCGATATTAATCTAAACAAGTTATATCTATATAGATATAGATACATATTCAGATAAGATACAGCTAGATATATAGATACTACTATAGCATAGTATTGCATGGTATGGTATGGCAGGGCATAGTATAGTATAGTGCTGTGTATTTTAGTGTAGCATAATCATAGCATAGCATCACATGGCATGGCATGATATGGTTTGGTATGGCATAGCTTAGCATAGCACAGCATAGTGTAGTGTATGTAGTACAGTATAGTAAGTTTGGTATAGTATAGTCAGGATGCTGCTTTCTCCTGGTTGGTGTTTAAATGGTATTTCTTTTCCATCAATTTATTTATTTATTTAATATATTTTTATTGATTTTTTACAGAGAGGAAGGGAGAGAGATAGAGAGCTAGAAACGCCGATAAGAGAGAAACATCGACCAGCTGCCTCTTGCACACCCCCTACTGGGGATGTGCCCGCAACCAATGTACATGCCCCTGACCGGAATCGAACCTGGGACCTTTCAGTCCGCAGACCAATGCTCTACCACTGAGCCAAACCGGTTTCGGCCTTTTCCATCAATTTAAACATTTCTTTGTCCTCATATCTGTGAGGTGTGCATTATTCAATATGTAATGTTTGATAGTGTTCATTTTATGTAAAGCAACAATTATTATATTTCTGGATATACTGTCCATAGACATCTAATATAATTATAATTCATTCGAATTTATATTTTCCTTATTATTATATTGGCCATTTGGTTCATCTGTTTCATATATATTCCTCTTGTCCTCCTCTGTTATATGTAAATAAATATATTCAGTTCCATTTTCCCTCTATTAACATATTAATCATACATCATTATTGTTGTTTTATAATCCTTTTATGTGCCATAGGCAGGCATCACTTTTTAATTTCTACTTAGTTATGAGGTATACAATTCAGTAGCATTTTGTGATCATTAAAGAAAACTCTTTAAAAACATCAGCATGAAGGGACCTGCATAGTATTATACTAAGCAAAAAGCCAGTCAGAGAAAGACAAATATCACATGATCTCACTTAAATGTGGAATCTAATGAACAAAATAAGCTGATGAACAAAATAGATCCAGCGACACTGAAGCAGAGAACATATTGTTGAATCTCAAAGGGAAGGCAGGAGTGGGTGGGTGGGTGGGAAAAGATCCACCAAAGAACTTGTATGCATGTATGCATAACCAATAGATCCGGATAATAGTATGGTGAAGGTCTGCGGTAGGAAGTGGAGGCAGGCTAGAAGGGTTGGGGGGGCAGGGGGGAGAAGAGGGACATAGTTTAATACTTTCAACAATAATTATTTTTGAAAACTTGCTAGAAAACTTTCTACTAGCTATTGAAAACATTCTTATATGCCTTCTGATATTATGTACTGGTATATCAGCTATATATCAAAGCCTGAAATATACATACAAACATACATACATATATACATATACACACAGAGAAGGTAAACATAGTAGAATGTTCACCAATGGGGAATTGGCTGAAGATTGTCTGATAATTCTTAATATAATTATTACAACTTTTCTGTATCTTTAAAAATCATTTCAAAATGGAAAGTTGAAAAATCTTTCTTCTCAGCTGGAGCAATGTCCCAAAACAAAGCAGTCCAGGGCATGACTGGAAAAGCTGTGGTCCATTGACCCCATGAAATACTATGCAGCTGTCAAAAAGGATATTTTACCCTTTGGGACAGCATGAAGGGACCTGCACAGTATTATACTAAGCAAAAAGCCAGTCAGAGAAAGACACTGTCACCTAGGACTCCAGTCCCTCTGGCTCTTGGACACACAGCTCCCTAAAGAGCAGTCAGAAATTAGCCCAAGCTTGGGGACTTGCTTGCAGCCTCTCATTAGCAGTTAAGTGTTACCTTTGGACTCATTTCTCTGGAGCTGGTTAAGGAAAAGAAAAGTCTGTAGAAGGGCCAAGGCCCCAGATATTGCATCTCTGTGTCTGGATGTGAGGTCTCCTGAAGAAAACCTAGGAGATGAGCAACAGTCTGGAGCAGAAGCTGTCTGAACTCACCAATGATGAAACCAGGTGAGAGGAGCTGGAAATCTGCCCTTAGCTATGAACCTGCCTATGTGCCAGGAGGTTAATGTGTGAGATTTTGTGTCCATGACCCTGTGTGTGCGCATGTATTGTATACACTTGTACAATATATGTGGTGATAATTGAGTGTGTATGTACTATGAATCTGACTCACAGTCTCCTTTTAGTATATGTATACCAGGTTATCAGCCTCCTAGCATGTGATAAAGGACTCCTGATTCATGTTTGTGAATGTAAATTGGCATCACAGCTGAGAACCAGAAGTGAGACTGTTGCTTCATCAGAAATGAGACTGTTCCTCATCAGGAATCAAGGTCAGCTCAGAGAGAGCTCAGACCTCTGCTCAGTAGTGTGTTGTGCACATGTGTGCTATGCCTGTGGGTGACATTCTCGTGTATAAGAGCTGGAAGTTATGTTATTGATTTTCTCTCTGTGTATGTGACATGTGTGTGACTGTATGCATGGGTGTCGGTGGTGGTTTAATGACTGTGCCTGTAAACTGAATAGACTTAACAGCCCCATGCTGACTGCCCTCCCCCAGCAAGGGGAAGATCAGATGGATGGAAGCTCATTAATATACTGTCATTTATAGGAGCTTGTGTATACTGTTTATGCATATGTGGTGAGTTGAGTGTTCACCTGGCACATCATAAAACAGGTGTTGATGTGAATTATGAGTGTGTTTTGGGGTGAGAGGTATATTTTCATACATTTTGGTTGTCTTGACAATTTTTTTCTGGCTGTGATGGCATATGACAGGTACGTGGCCATCTGTCACCCTCTGCACTACACCGCCATCATTAGGGAGGGGCCGTGTCTGCTGGTGGTGGCTGGCTCCTGGATTCTCTCGTGTGGCAATGCCCTTTTACATAACCTCCTATTTGGCCAGTTGTCTTTCTGTGCTGAAAATACCATCATCACCCACTACTTCTGTGACCTCACTGCACTCCTGAAGCTGAGGTGCTCAGACACCTCTCTCAATGAGCTGGATATATTCACTGAGGGAGAAATGGTTTTATTTTTGTGTTTTACTATTATTTTGGGCTCCTATATCCGTATAGGGGCCATCATCCTGAGGGCGCCCTCCACTAAGAGACTCTCTAAAGCCTTGTCTACCTGTGGCTCCCATCTCTCTGTGGTGCTGTTATACTATGGGGCACTTGCTAGTGTTTACTTTTCCTCCTCCTCATGGGGTTCCAAGGACATAATTGCTTCAGTCATGTATACGGTAGTTACCCCCATGGTGAACCCCTTCATCTACAGCCTGAGGAACAGAGATATAAAACAGGCCTTAGGCATGTGTGTCAATAGGGTTAAGTTCTTTAAGATGCAATCACCAAATCCTCATGTTTCAATCAGAAGCATAGTGAGATAGATCTAAAATTATTGTATGGTCAACACCTCTACATTACTGGTAATTTCACAGTATATCCATCATCTTGTTACGTATAAATGTTGTTATATGGTCACATTTGCTTCTAAGATTCTTAATAATTTTTATTCATAATTGGGAGTTTTTGCTTGTTCATCATCTCTTATAATATACTAGAGACCTAGTGCATCCCCCCTCAGGGGATGTCCAACTCCTGATAGTCAGACTTCCATCCCACAATCTAGGACCATAGGCTCCTAACTGCTCACCTGCCTGCAGGCCTGATCACCCCTAACCGCCTCTACCTACAGGCCTGATCCCCTTCTAACTGCACCCCTGCTGGCCTAATCACTGCCTAATCGCCCACCTGCAGGCCTTATTACCCCCATTGCCCTCCCCTGCTGGCCTGATTACCCTCTAATTTGACCTCCCCTGCCGGCCAGATTGTCCCCTAACTGCTTGCTCCCCCATGCAAGCCTGATATCTCCCCTAACTGCTTGCTCCTTACTGCTGACCTGATCTCACACCTAACTGTTTGCTCCCCTGCTGGCCTTTTCACCCCTAAATACCTCTGTCTCGGCCCCCACCACTGTGGCTTTGTCTGGAAAGAAGTCAGACGTCCAGAAGATGTACAGTTGATCTGGATTAATTAGAATATTACTCTTTTATTAGTATAGATATGCAAAATCCCATGTACAACTGTTACACAATCATAATTGTGGTTTGTCTCATTCTGTTTTGAGATATCTGATTTTTTGCTTATGCAGTTTTTAAAATTTTATGCTATAGCCGAAGCAGGTTTGGCTCAGTGGTAGAGCATCGGTCTGTGGACTGAAAGGTCCCAGGTTCGATTCCGGTCAGGGGCATGTGCATTGGTTGCGGGCACATCCCCGGTAGGGGGTATGCAAGAGGCAGCTGGTCGATGTTTCTCTCTCATCAATGTTTCTGGCTCTCTATCCCTCTCCCTTCCTCCTCTCTGTGAAATATCAATAAAATGTATTTTAAAAATTTTTATGCTATAGAAGACTCACTTATTTAGCATCATGATCTGCACCTGGTGATCTTTTTCTTTTTCGTCTTTTTTTTGAACTGATATTTTTTATGTTGGCTTAAAGCTGATTGTGCATATCTCTTCCTAATTCATAATCAATCACATCATGTGTCTGACTGCAATCAGCCATAGAAAAATTACACTATGAAAATGATGTGCTGCAAAGCCTGGTTGCTAGAAAAAGAGAGAAATAGAGTTTTTAAAAATGCATTTAAGATCAATTAGGAAAATTTTCGAGTAATGAGTCCTATCTTAACACCTCATCTGCTTCTGATAACTGTATATATACTTCATATCCACAAATATATATACAGATAGAGATAGAGATACCAGTATAGTATAGCTGGCCAAGATGCAGCTTTCTCATGGTTAGTGTTTAAATGTTATTTCTTTCATCACTTTAAACTTTTCTTTGTCCTTATGTCTGTTAGGTGTGCATTGTTAAAAATGTAATGTTGGTTTTCGATTATTTTATGTAAGGCAACAATTATTATATTTCTGGAGGATATTATCTATAAGCAGCTAATCATAATATATTTGAATTTATATTTTCCATATTACTGTTTTTTATTTGATTCATCTGTTTCACAGATATCCTCTCTCATATTTCTCCATTTTAATTAAATACACACTTTAAAATTCAAATTTTCCCTTATTAATCATACATTTTCATTTTTCTTGCTTTATAATTATTTCTGTGCTGTCTGTAGATATCACTTCTTACTTTCTCTTTAGACATTTGAGGTATACAATTCAGTGGCATTTAGGTCATTCATCACCTATATCTCATTTTATGACCACTAAAGAACACTCTATATGACAACAATTGAGATTTTGCAAGTGTGAATAAAATAAAAGCAAAGATATCTATGAAGCAATGTGGAGAAATATGCAGATATGTTGCTAAATAAAAAACAGCCATGTGTAAAAGAGCACTATAGCATGTTTCTCTTTATGTAACAATGAAGGGGAATAAAATACACATGTGTCTGCCCATTTGAGCAGAAAGAAGCAAAGGAAGACTAAATCAGAAACTGAGATTGTTTACCCACAAAGAGGTGGGCTGAAGGCCTGGCGAGATGAGTCAGATATTTTATGTAGTTTTGACTGTGCTGTATTTTGCCACTAAAAATAAATAGGAGAGGTGGTGAATAAAGCAAAATAGATTAAAACAATACAAATAAACTGAAATTATATTTCAAATTAACTCCAAAATTAGATTAAAGGTGAAAATAAAATAACCTAAGCAATTCTTGAACTCAGAATTTTGTCTATATGCTCCCACAAATAAAAATAGTCTAAACAAAGTTATAAGCTGTTGAGTATCATTAACAGTGGTGTGAGTTCAAGATTCTGAAACAAGTCACCATATATCCAAAGACTCAGCGATGAAATAAACACGGAAGAAAAGGGTTTTGCTCTCACTCTCAGAAAAGGAGCTCTGTACATGGAAAAGGAGAGGCTGGGAAGGACTCTATGGTGTCAAACTAGAAATGGAGATATCAATCAGAAATCATGGGCTTTTAAATGTATAAATAGATCACAATTTATAGGTTATATATGAACACCTATACTGTTCCTTTTCCCCATCCTTTCTGTGCCACTCCTGACCCATCTCCTGTGGTAAGAACTTCCTTTAGTTTCTTAATTTCTGGTTTTTCCTTTTGGTGTCTCTTTTATACATATTTTCCAGTTGTCTTCTCTGTGATCATTTAGAATATTTGTAAGTAATGAAGACACCAAAAGTTTCAAAATAAATAACACTGGTAATGTATTATAACTCAGAGAATAATAATCCATGAATCAGTAATGATATAAATGAATAAATAAAGAAATGAGTGCAGAATAAGGATACACGTTCCTTCATATAAAGGAATAGAGTATCACTCACACCTGCAAGAATGGTTACTACCAATAAATCAACAAACAACAACTGCTGGCAAGGATATGGAGACAAGGAAACCCCAGGGCCCTGCTGCTGGGGATGCAGACTAGTGCAGCCACTGTAGACAACAGTGTGGAGTTTCCTCAAAAAATTAAAAATGGAACTGCCTTTCAACCCAGTGATCCCTCTTCTGGAAATATATCCTAAGAATATCATAACACCAATAAGAAAGAATATATGCACTCCTATGTTCATAGCAACACTATTCACTTTTCTTAAGGTATGAAGACATCCCATGTACCCATCTGCAGATGAGTGGGTTAAAAAGCTGTGGTACATTTACTCAATGGAATACTACATGGCTATATAAAAGAAGGAACTCTTACCCTTTGCAACAACATAGATGGACCTGGAGAGTATTATGCAAAGCAAAATAAGCAAGTCAGAGAAAGACAAATACAATTATGTGGAGTCTAATCAACCAGCTAACTGATGAACAAGATGGAATCAGAAGCATGGATACATAGAACAGAAAGGCAGAAACCAGAGGGGAGAAGGCTTGGAGTGACTAGATAATGAAGTATTAGCTAAAGAACACATTCGCATACCTCATGGCCATGTACAATAGTGAAATGAAGGCCAAAGAAGATGGAGGACAGGGTAGTGGAGGTGACAAGGGGCAAGTCTACAATAATGTCAACATCAAATTTTTTCATAAAAAGAAAAGAATACAACTAAAAAGGAAGAAGAAATGATAGAATTAGAAAACTCACCATTAGACCACCATATTTGCCATGTAGGCATCAGCAATGGATGTGAAACACAGTGGGTGAGATTTTAGTAAGAAAGATGTTAATGTTATAGTATCAAAATAGCTACCCAAATGATACCTATTAGTTATAAATTTAAAAGAATAACTTAAAAAAAGTAACATTATATTATAGACCCACCTTAACCAATTGATCAAAGATAAAAACTCTAGTAATTGGAAAAATTAATATCACAAACCTAATTATATACACTGTGGTATATATGCCGAAAACAAATGTTGAAAACAAAGCCTGAAACATATCCTATCTAATAAAAGGGTAATATGCAAATTGACCATCACTCCAACACTCAAGATGGTCACCCCCCATGTGCTCAAAGATGGTCGCCACAAGGGGCCAGCAGGGGAGGGCAGTTGTAGGTAATCAAGCCAGCAGGGGAAGGCAGATGGGAGGAACCCAGGCCTGTAGGGGAGGGCAGTTGGGGGAAACCAGGCTGGCAGGGGAGGGCAGTTGGGGGGGATCAGGCCTGCAGGGGAGGGCAGTTGGGGGGTTATCAGGCCTGCAAGGGAGGACAGTTAGGGGTGACCAGGACAGCAGGAGAGGACAATTAGAGGCAATTGGGCTGGCAGGGGAGCAGTTAGGCATCAATCAGGCTGGCAGGGGAGTGGTTAGGGGGTGATTAGGCTGGCTGACAGAAGTGGTTAGGGGAAATTGAGCACTCAGGCAGGCGAGCAATTGGGAGCTAGCAGTCCTGGATTGTGAGAGGGATGTCTGACTGCCCGTTTAGGCCCAATCCCACTGGGTTCAGGGTAAATGGGCAGTCAGACATTCCTTGAAAGGTCCCAGTTTGGAGACATACACCACCACCCCTCCCCATGCACGAATTTCATGCACTGGGCCTCTAATATGTATATATGTATACACTCATAAAAGGTAAACATCATAAAATGTTAATCATTAGAGAATCTGGCTAAAGCCTGTCCAGGGATTCTTGATACATTTTCACAACTTTTACATATCTTTAAAATAATTTCAAAATAAAAGTTGAAAAACCATTTCCCCAGCTGGAGCAATGCCCAAGGACAAAGAAATCTAGGGCATGACTAGAATCAAGGACACTGTCCCCCAGGACTCCAGTCCCTCTGGCTCTTGGACACTTAGCTCCCCAAAGGGCAGTCAGAAATTAGCCACAAGCTTGGGGACTTGCTTGCAGTCTCTCATTAGCAGTTAAGTGTTATCTTTGAACTCATTTCTTTGGAGCTGGTTAGGGAAAAGGAAAGTCTGTAGAAGTGCAAAGGCCCCAGATATTGCATCTCTGTGTCTGGATGTTAGGTCTCCTGAAGAAAACCTGACGAGATGGGCAATAATCTGGAACAGAAGGTGTCTGAACTCAGCGATGAGCCCAGGTGAAAGGAGCTGAAAATCTGCCCTTGGTGATGGATCTGCCTGTGTGCTAGGGGGGTTCATGTGTGAGACTCAATTTCCATGACTCTGTTTGTGTGCATGTGTTGTATATGCTTGGGTATGTGTGCGCGCGCAAGTTCTGTGTTTGCTAGGTATCTGACCCACACTCTTGTTTTAGGGTGTGCAGACAAGTTACCTCCTGGCTTGTGATTAAGGACTCCTGATTCATGTCTGTGGTTGTAAAGACTGGCATCACAACTGAGCACAGGAGTGAGATTGTTGACTCTGCTGCTGGACAGGAAGACGCCCAACTTCACAAGGAACCAAGATCAGCTCAGAGAGGGTTCACACCTCTGCTCAGCAGCGTATGCTGGTGCATGTGCAAGCTCTGTTTATAGGGGACACACTCGTGTGTGACAACAGGAAGGTGTGTTGTTGGATTTTCTATTGTCATATGTGTGACCACGTACATGGGGTGTTTCTTGTGACATTTTCAATTGTTTGTGGCCTTGTGAGTTTTGGTGATGCAGGTGTATAGTATAGAGTTATGTATATGTGGTGAGTTGAGTGCTTTCCTGGTGTGTCATGAGTCACCTGTGTTGGTGTGCATTGAGAGTGTTTGTGGGCGAAGGATGCATCATTATGTATCTCATTTTGTGTTTTACTTGTGACTTGTGCATATATATATGAGTATTTATTAGCTGAACCCCACATTGACCATCTTTTTATTAGGATGGGAAAATGGTCACAGGTGACTAGAATCCTCAAATCAGCTATGTGTGTGTGTGTCACTTGTTTGTGTGTCTGGGTCTTCCAACTTGCCCCATGACCACAAATATTTCTTTTAGAGCACTTCTCTTTGGGAACCATTGGCTGAGATAAAATTCAAAGTACCCTTGTTTCTGACAGATCTGCTGAGTTCTCAGATACCTGAGTGTGATTGCATCACTCAGAGATTTTTAACAGTTTCAGGTAAAGAAATATTAGATATCATGGTGCATGAAGTCAGAGTGCAGGACTGCTACAGTGTTGACCTTGAGACCGTCACTTAACTTGGTGGCCTCTGTTAACAATCTACAAAGTGGAAGGAATGATACTTGCCTCAAAACACAGGCCGTCAACTAACATGTAAGCAAACAATTATGAATGTAAAGGTCATTTGTCAATTGAGAAACATCAACAATTATAATGAGAATTCTCTAGGTATGGATCTAAGAAAATTTTGAAGAACTGGCAAAGGGTGTTTCCAAGGAAGGAGGAAGTTTCCGAGGGGAGTGGGTAAGAGCATGAGCTTTGATTATGCAGACATATTAGACTGAATTGCATGACAGTCAATATTTGATCATTTTTCTCCTTTACATTTATTGTTAATTAAAGTAGACATACAATATTAGATTCTCGTTTGTACAATGTAGTGACTCAACACTTATATACCTATTTCCACAATAAGACTAGTAACAGTCACGTACAAAGTTATTATAATATTATCGGCTGTATTAAAGGGTATGCGATACTTTTAACTTATAGAATATGAAAATACCTACAATTTATATATGTATTTGGAATTTATATCCCTTATATTTCTACTTCCTAACAACTGAAATAGGAAAAAGAACATTCATTCTTAGTGCAGCTGGGAAGATATTTAGTCTGGGAATGTAAGGTTGATGTTGGATTTAATTAGGGATTTTCAATAAAGCCCTTAACCTTGTGTTAAGCAGTGTTTATTCCCCAAAAATGCTCAGCATTATTATGAAAGATAGTTTTTGGAATATTCTGTTCTGGAGTTTTTCTGGCATCAAGTGGGTTTCAATGGCTACCCATTTCTAGAGTGTCTCTGAGTTTACAGCTGAGGGTCAATGGGACCCAACAGGTTCACAGGAAGTCTGACAATGCTCCAACAACACCCACTCAGCACTGGAGTGTCATATTACTTTCAGGCAGAAAGAACTTTCACCGGTTTGTAGAGGCTCATCTTCTATTCCTGCCACAGTGAATTATGGTTTGGCTCTGACCTGGTGTAGAAATAATCCATCCATGCTCATCAAGATATAAACTCATAGGAGAGAGGATCTTACTTTCCTTGTTCACTGCTGCATATCTGTCCTTAGTAGAGATGTTAAAAGTAATCCTACATAATAAAATCCTAATATGCAAATTGTTTCATTGGGAGTTTGACCAGGAGTTTAATTGCTTGCTATGATGTGTACTGACCACCAGGGGGAGGCACAGAACATGGCAGGTGTTGGTGACAGGATGCTAGCAGTGGGTGGCAGTGGAGGTGCTGCAGACCAGATGGGTCCCAAGGAGAGCAGGACTGCAGCAGGATGGAGGTTAGCGGGTGGCACCTGGTCAAGGCAGGTGCGATCAATAACCCGGCAGATGGTGACCAGTGACAGTGGTGGGGGCTGGCCAGCAATGGGGGGTAGGGTCACTGGCTGGCTCCCAGGTGCTGAGGGAACTAGGTGGGGGGCATGGCCTTGATCCATCAACCCACAGGTGTGATGGTGAAACAGGGGAGGGTGACACCAGGCCACGGCAGGGTGCCATGAGTGACTGCAGGGCTGCGATGCTGGGGCACGATCCCTGAAGGCCACCCTGAGGGACCCTACCCATTCACGAAATCATGCACTAGGCCTCTAGTATTTGAATGAAACAGTGAACCTCCTCTTGTTCTGTGTGATGATGTCTGTTTACTACTTTGGGGTTCAATGTTTTCCTGGAGCCAGACTAGAATGGGGGGAAGTTGTATACATTCACAGATATGAGAAATTAATATGAACATATTTAAAAATGATTTTCTCAGAGAATGACAGTATGAGATGTGATGGTTCTAGTCATCATGTTTAATTTCCTAAGATTCCCACATTTTCTTCATCCCCAGCAGACAGAAGAGCAGCATGAGGCCTGAAAACCAGAGCAGTGTGTCCCAGTTCCTCCTCCTGGGGCTCCCCATCCCACCAGGGCAGCAGGGCGTGTTCTTCTTCACCCTGTTCCTAGGCATGTACCTGACCACGGTGCTGGGCAACCTGCTCATCATCCTGCTCATCAGGCTGGACTCCCGCCTGCACACGCCCATGTACTTCTTCCTCAGCCACTTGGCCTTCTCTGACATTTCTCTGTCCTCTGTCACTGTCCCTAAGATGCTTATGAACATGCAGACTCATCAACAATCCATCTCCTATGTGGGATGCATCACACAGTTGTATTTTTTCATACATTTTGCTGGTCTTGACAATTTTCTTCTGGCTGTGATGGCATATGACAGGTATGTGGCCATCTGTCATCCCCTGCACTACACCAGCATCATGAGGGAGGGGCGATGCATGGTACTGGTGATGGGCTCTTGGATTACTGCCTTTGGCAATTCCATGTTGAACACCCTCCTGGTGGGTCGACTGTCCTTCTCTATGAACAATACCATCCCCCATTTCTACTGTGACCTTGCTGCACTCCTGAAGCTGAGCTGCTCTGATGTCTCCCTCAATAAGCTGATGATTTTCACTGAGGCAGGAATGCTTTTCTTTTTGTGTTTTGGTATTATTGCATGCTCCTATATTCGTATAGGGACTATCGTACTGAGGGTGCCCTCCACTAAGAGACTCTTTAAAACTTTGTCTACCTGTGGCTCCCATCTCTCTGTGGTGTTCTTATACTATGGGACATCTGCAGGTGTTTACTTTTCCTCCTCCTCATGGGGTTCCAAAGACATAATTGCCTCGGTTATGTATACAGTAGTTACCCCCATGCTAAACCCCTTCATCTACAGCCTGAGGAACAGAGATATAAAACAGGCCTTAGAGATGTGTGTCAATAGGGTTAAGTTCTTTAAGCAGCAATCATAAAATCCTCCTGTTGCAGTCAGGAGTATACGGAGATAAATCTCCTAAAATTTTTGTATAGTCTACACCTCCATATAACTTTCCTAGAATATGCATTCTCTTAGCCAGTGTAAGATTGTTATATGTGAACTAGCTCATGTTTGCTTCTTGCGTTAATAATTTTTTTATTCCTAATTGGTGATTTTTGCTTGTTCAACAACTCTTATAAGATAATTCAAAATCCTATGCAAAACAAGTTACACAATCATAATTCTGAGTTTGTCTATTTCTGTTTTGAAATATGTCATTTTTTATTATGCATTTTTAACATTTTTTTAAATTAGTAATCATGTATTGAAAGCAGGAAGAGGTTCCACAACATCAGATAAACCAGTTCTGAGATTTTCCCCAAGATAAATTTTAACTGCTCTAGTTTCAGAGTTTATCAAAATACAAAAGAAAAAAGTAGAGGTTGTTGTTTTTGATGTCAATCTGACCTTTGCAGGCTGAGGGAGTGAAAGCACATGTGGTGGGGACTCTGAGGAGCTAGGCTTTAAGATGACTGGTCACCTGTCTGCATTCCTATTGGTGATTCACGAACAACCTGGAGCGTGTGTGTGTGTGTGTGTGTGTGTGTGTGTGTGTGTGTGTGTGCGCGCGTGTGTGTATGTGTAAGGACCATGGGGAGGGGGGTCTCTTGTTCTGGTCAGAGTGGTCCCACCAAAGCACCTATGCTGACCCACACTGACAGAAAGGAAGGCTGGGGTCCCTCCAAGGGGTCTGAGTGGTGGCCACCCCCCTCCCCCCCCAGCCCACCCCGATTGTCTGTGGTGTAAGTACAGGTACAAGCACGAATTCAATGGGATGCAGATGAGCCAGCGAGACAAAGCCAATCAGGGATCGTAAGTGACCATGCAGAACGTATTGTGGCTGGTTGTGCCCACTGCACGCTCCAGATGGGAGACAGACCACAGGCAGACTGGACTCAAGCTGTTACTGCAGAACCTACACTAGGAACATTTCTCCCTTCTCTGTGTTAAAGTGTCTCCAAACCTTGTATTTATATTATTAAAAATGTACTTAGTTTGTGTTAAAAACCAACTACCCAAATGGATCTCAACACAGACTTAAAGCCCAGCAGAGGAGCATTGAGGTGATCTCACAGAAACTCCTATAGTCCGCGTACCAGGTGCCTAAAATCCCTTCTCAGTCCTAAACAGTGGGTTGATTCTGTTTTACTTGGTTTGTTTGTTTGTTTGTTTGTTTACAACAAGAAAAGCTGAGTAATATGGCATAGGTGTACCAGAAACTCTCTCATTGAAAACAAGAACTATTTACACTAAATAAAAACCCAGTTGCAGGCTCCATCTGCACATGTACAGTGTGATGAAGCACACTGGGACCAACCGTGGAGAGAGCTTCTGGCACTCACACCACAGGGGCACATCTGCCACCTGAGGGGAAAGCAATGGTGAAGGAGGGAGTGAGGGGGAAGGGAGGAGTTCCGCTCATTTCTGCTTCTGGAGCTGATTGGACAGCCAGTTCAGTCCCTCATAGATCCCACACCTCGGGCGGCACAGGTAGCCCCAATGGACCAGTTCCTGGGCACAGAGAGTGGAGGCCCAGCTTGTCTGTGATCTCATCTGCATTACTGGCATTGGGGAGGTCCTCTTGTATGCAAACATGAGCAGGACAGCATCCCTGAGCTCATCCTCCGCCAGCATCTGCATAAACTCCTCTCCAGCCTCATTCACATGTTCTTGGTCATGCTGTCAACCACAAAGATGAGACCTTGTGTGTTCTGGAGTTATTGTGCAGATCACTGAGCCTAGATCTTTGTGTTAATTCTGACTTATATGTACGCATATGAGTGTTCATGAGATGAGCCACATATTGGCTATACTTTTATTAGGATGGAAATTTGATCAGGGTTGATGTACATTCTCCAATCAGCAGTGTGTGTGTGTGTGTGTGTGTGTGTGTGTGTGTGTGTGTGTATACCCATGACTATTTCCTAAATTGTCCTCCTTCTGTGGCACAATTACTTAAGATACTCAAATTCTAAGCAACACCCTGTTTCTTGAAATGGTTCTGCTATCACTGCTATTATTTTTTATGTACCTGAGTGTAACTGAATTGCTCAGAATTTTCCAACCTTTCTTTATTTTTAATAAGCATTCCAGGGAAACAAACAAACAAATAAACAAACTAACTAACCATAAACTGCAGGCATCATGACGTGTGAAGGTATTTGGCAGAATTACAATTAAGTACTGATAGGACATTGGAGAAGTTATATAAAACATTGGTCTCACTTTCATCTCTATAAAATGGAAAGAATTATACTAGTTTTATGAGAGCCCTAACCGGTTTGGATAGAGCATAAGCCTGCAGAATGAAGGTTCCCAGGTTCAATTCTGGTCAAGGGCATGTACCTTGGTTGCAGGCACATCCACAAGAGGGATCTATTTTTCTCATCAATGTTTCTAACTCTGTATCCCTCTCCTTTCATCTATGTAAAAAAAAATCAATAAAAATATTTTTAAAAATTTTTTTAAATGTGCAAAATAACTAAATAGACACTTTTCCAAAGAGGACACACAGATAGCCAAGAGTCATATGAAAAAATGCTCAAAGTCACTAATCATCAGAGAGATGAGATGCAAATTCAGATTACAATTAGGTATAACCTTATGCCTATCAGAATAGCTACCATCAACATTATCAAAAAGTGACAATGGTTGGCGAGGCTGTGGAGAATAAGGGACCTGTATACACTGGTGGTGGGAATGCAGATTGGTGCAGCTATTATGGAAAACAGTATGGAGTTTCCTTAAAAATTAAATACGAAACTGCCATTTGACCCTGAAATTCTACTTCTAGGAATACAGACTAAGAAACCTAAAACACCAATCATAAAGTAACTATGCACCCTTATATTCCTGCAGCACAATTCACAATAGCTAAGATCCAAAAACAACCCAAATGCCCACCAGTGGTGAGTGGATAAAAAAGCTGTGATACATTTACACCATGGAATACCATGTAGCTGTAATAAAAAAGGCTCTTTTACCCTTTGAGACAGCATGAAGGGACCTGCATAGTATTACACTAAGCAAAAAGCCAGTCAGAAAAGAAAAAATATCACAGGATCTCACTTAAATGTGGAAATCAATGAACAAAATAAACTGATGAGCGAAATAGATCCAGCGACATAGAAGCATGGAACATATTGTTGAATCTCAGAGGGAAGGCAGACATAGGTGGGAAAAGATCAACTGAAGAACTTGTATGCATGTATGCATAATCAGTGGGTCCAGATAATAGTATGGTGAAGATCTGGGGTAGGGAGTGGGACAGGCTAGAAGGGTTAACATGGGGGCGGGGGGAAGGGCACATATGTAATACTTTCAACAATAATTTTTTTTGAAAATTTGTTAAAAAGGATAAAAACACTAGCTTCTGTTAACATTATCATCCTCCTTCTGATAATATGCACTGGTATATCAGCAATAAGTCTAAGCCTGAAATATACATACAAACATATATACATATATAAATATTCACTCAGAGAAGGTAGGAAACTTAGTAGAATGTTAACCATTATGGAATTGGCTGAAGATTGACCAGGAATTCTTAATATCACTATTACAACTTTTCTGCATCTTTAAAATCATTTCAAATTAAAAACTTGAAAAATATTTCTTCCCAGTGGAGCAATGCTCAAGAACAAAGCAGTCCAGGATCCAGTTCCCCAGGATCCAGTCCCTCCTACTCTTGGACACTCAGCTCCCCAAAGGGCAGTCAGAAATTAGCCACAAGCTTGGGGACTTGCTTGCAGTGTCTCATTAGCAGTTAAATGTTATCATTGGACTCATTTCTGTGGAGCTGGTTAGGGAAAAGGAAAGTCTGTAGAAGTGCCAAGGCCTCAGATATTGCTTCTGTGTGTCTGGATGTGAGGTGTCCTGAAGAAAACCTGAGGAGATGGGCAATACTCTGAAGCAGAAGATGTATGAACTCACCAATGATGAGCCCAGGTGATAGGAGCTATAAATATGCTCTTGCTGATAGATTTGCCTGCGTGCTAGGGTTTTCATGTGTGAGACTCTGTGTCCATAACGGTGAGTGTGCATGCATTGAATATGTTTGTATATGTGTTGTTTGATAGTTGTGTGTGTGTGTGTGTGTGTGTGTGTGTGTGTGTGTGTGTTATGAATCTGACACTCTGTCTCATTTTAATGTATATAGACCAGGTTATCAGCCTCCTGGCTTGTGATTAGGGACTCCTGACGCATGTCTGGCACCACAACTGACCTTCAGGAGTGAGTCTCTTGTCTCTGCTGCTGGATAAGATGATGCTGACCACTTAAGGAACCAAGGTCAGCTCAGAGAGAGTTCAGACCTCTGCTCAGCCGTGTGTTGTGCACATGTGAGCTGTGCCTGTGGGTGACACTCTCTTGTATGAGAGCTGAAAGTTATGTTATTGATTTTCTCTGTGTGTATGTGACCATGTGTGTGTGACCATATGCATGGGTGTTGGTGGTGGTTTAATGACTATGCCTGTAAACTGAATAGACTTAACTGATCCATGCTGACTGCCCTCCTCCAGCAAGGGGAAGATCAGATGGATGGAAGGTCATTAATATACTCTCATTTATAGGATCGTGTATCCTGTTTGTGTATATTGTTTATGTATATGTGGTGAGGTTAGTGTTTACCTGGTGCCTCATGAAGCAGGTTGATGTGCATTATGAGTGTGTTTTGGGGTGAGAGGTATATTATTGTATATTGTATGTCCAACTTTGTGTTCATTATGACTTATATGTATGCATATGAGTGTATGAGTTGAAGTACATGTTGGTTATTCTTCCTTTAGGATGGAAATTTGGTCAGTGGTGACTTACATTCCCAAATCGAGAGAGAGAAAGAAAGAGAGAGAGAGAGAGAGAGAGAGAGAGAGAGAGAGAGAGAGAGAGAGAGAGAGAGGCATCTATGACTATAGTATTTCCTAAAGTGTCCTCCTTCTGGGGAACCATTACCTAAGATACTGAGCAACACCCTGTTTTTTGAAATAGATCTGCTATCATTTTTATGTACCTGAGTGTGACTGAGTTGCTCAGAATTTTCCAACCTTTTATTTTTACTAAACATTCCAAAAAACAAACAAACAAACAAACCATAAACTGCAGGCATCATGATGTGTAAAGGTATTGGGCAGAATTACCATTATATAGTGATGAGACCTTGGGGAAGTTATATAAAACATTGGCCTCACTTTCACATCTATGAAATGGAAAGAATGACACAAGTTTAATGAATCTTGCAGAGCCTCTCCATAAATAGATATTGCATGAATAGAACTTAATGTATTTGAGAACTTTCTGTCAATTGGAAAATAAATAAACATGAAGGAATAAAGTTATCTATTAATAGTAAAGGGAATAAAAACATTTGGACAACTCTGGGTCCTCACAGCTCTAAAATAATATATTGTGCTTGGCTCCTAAGCAAGAAAAGGGAAGTTTCTGATCATACAGTCATATCAGCCTGAACTCCATGAGGTAGCTAATAGTTGGTGATTTTTAATTAACAGAAAATGGAAATATATATATATCAATATATAGTTATAAACATTACATAGCAGATGTTATAGATACTAATATACACACGTGTATTTGTGCGCCATTCTGTCCCTGCTGTACTGCAGTGTGCCTACAGAATTTGTGTCATTCATGTTTCCATAGGTCAAAGAATACAAATCCCTAGAGTAGCTTTGAAGAGGTTTTAAAATCTAGGAATGTAAGGCTGATAAGTGGATTTGATTAGGAAATGTAGGTAAAGTCCTAAGCCTGGTGGTACCCAAATGTTCACCTAAATGTTCAGCGTTATTTTGAAAGATACATGGTGGGCAATTTTGGTTTTGAAGATATTCTGGTATCAAGTGGCTTTCAATGGCCACCCATTTCCAGAGTGTCTCTGAGTTACAGCTGAGGGTCAATGGGAGCAGGAAGTCCGACAATGCTCCAACAATGCCCACTGAGCACTGGAGTCTCACATTACTTTCAGGCAGAAACAAATGACACCATTGTGCAGGGCTCATGTTCTATTCCTGCCACAGTGAATGATTATGGTTTGGCTCTGGCCTGGTGTAGAAATGATCCCTCCATGCTCATCAAAATGTAAACACCTAGAAGTAGGCACCTTTCTTGTTCACTGCTGCATTCCAGTCCTTAGTAAAGATCCTGACACAGACATGATATTAAAAGTAACGGTTGAATAAAACAGAGAACCCCTTCTTGCTACTGTATGATGAGGTCTTGTAAAGTACTTTAAGGCTCAATGTTTTCCTGGAGCCAGACTGGGAGAGAGGGAAGATGTATAAATCCATAGGTGTGGGAAATATGAACCTATTTAAAAATGAATATGTTTCCCAGAGAATGATAGTATGAGATGTGATGGTTCTGTTCATCCTTTCTAGGTGCCTGAGACTCCCAACCCTTCTTCATCCCCAGCAGACAGAAGAGCAGCATGAGGCCTGAGAACCAGAGCAGCGTGTCCCAGTTCCTCCTCCTGGGGCTCCCCATCCCACCAGGGCAGCAGGGCGGGTTCTTCACCCTGTTTCTGAGCATGTACCTGACCACGGTGCTGGGCAACCTGCTCATCATCCTGCTCATCAGGCTGGACTCCCGCCTGCACACGCCCATGTACTTCTTCCTCAGCCACTTGGCCTTCTCTGATGTTTCTCTTTCATCTGTCACTGTGCCTAAGATGCTCATGAACATGCAGACTCGGCAACAATCCATCTCCCATGTGGGATGCATTTCTCAATTGTATTTTTTCATACTTTTTGCTAGTATTGACAATTTTCTTCTGGCTGTGATGGCATATGACAGGTACGTGGCCGTCTGTCACCCTCTACACTACACCAGCATCATGAGGGAGGGGCTGTGTCTGCTGCTGGTGGCTGGCTGCTGGATTCTCTCCTGTGTCCGTGGTTTGTTGCACACCATCCTCTTGGTTCGACTGTCCTTCTCTGCTGACATTACCATCCCTCACTTCTACTGTGACCTTGTTGCACTCCTGAAGGTGAGCTGCTCTGATGTCTTCCTCAATAAGCTGATGATTTTCACAGAGGCAGGAATGCTTTTCTTCCTGGCGTTTGTTGTAATTTTGGGGTCCTATATCCGTATAGGCACCATCATCCTGAGGGTGCCCTCCACTAAGAGACTCCATAAAGCATTTTCTACCTGTGGCTCCCATCTCTGTGTGGTGTTGTTATACTATATGACAGTTGCAGGTGTTTATTTTTTCTCCTCATCATGGGGTTCCAAAGACATAATTGCTTCAGTCATGTATACCGTAGTTACCCCCATGCTGAACCCCTTCATCTACAGCCTCAGGAACAGAGATATAAAACAGGCCTTAGACATGTGTGTCCATAAGTTTAAGTTCTTTAAGCAGCAATCATGAAATCCTCTTGTCACTCTCAGGAGCATAGGGAAATATATCTCTTAAAATTATTGTATAGTCAACACCTACATTTAACTTTCCTAGTATATGCATTCTCTTGTCATGTCTAAAAATTTTTATATGTGTACTAGCTCATGTTTGCTACTTGCATTGTTAATAAACTTTTATTCCCAATAGATAATTTTTGTTTGTTCATTATCTCTTATAAGATAATCCAAAATCCAATATAAAACAAGTTTTGCAATCATACTGGCAGGTTTGTCTCTCTCTGTTTTGAGATATGTCATTTTTTTTTTTTTTTTGCTTATGCATTTTTAAACATTTTATTCTCATGTATTGAAAGCTGGAGAGCATTATTCTAAGTGAAATAAGCCAATCAGAGTAAGATAATCATCACAGGATTTCACTCATTTATGGAATATAACGAACAACATAAATGGGTGAACAAATACAGATTCAGAGACAGAAAAGCATCAATCAGACCATCAAACCTCAGAGGGAATGTAGGGGAGGGTGGAGTTAAGGGGAAGATATCAACCACAGGACTTGTATGCATGCAAACCTAACCAATGGACACAGACAGTGGGGAGGGGCATGAGGGAATGAGTAGGGGGAGTGGAGGAGGTAATGGTGGAATGACACATATGTAATACCTTAATCAATAAAAAAATTAAAAAATAAAAATAAAGCAATAAGAGATTCCATGACACAAGATAAACCAGTTCTGAGATTTTCCCCAAGATAAATTTTAACATTTCTAGTTTCTTCAGAGTTTATCAAAATACAAAAGAAAAAAGTAGAGGTTGTTGTTTTTTATGTCAATCTGACCCTTGCAGGGTGAGGGAGTGAAAGCACATGTGGTTGAGGTCTCTGAGGAGCTAGACTCTAAGATGACCAGTCACCTGTCTGCATTCCTATTGGTGATTCCCAGACAACCTGGAGCAAGTGTGTGTGTGTGTGTGTGTGTGTGTGTGTGTGTGTGTGTGTGTATACACCATGGGGAGGGGGGGGTCTCCTGTTCTGACCAGAGTAGTCCCACCAAAGCACCTGTGCTGACCCACACTGACCGAAGGGAAGGCTGGGGTCCCTATAAGGGGTCTGAGGGGTGGCAGCACCCCTCAGCCCACCCCATTATCAGTGGTGTAAGCACAGGTACAAGCACAAATGCAATAGGATGCACATGACCCAGCGAGACAAGGCCGTAAGTGACCATGCAGAACGTATTGTGGCTGGTTGTGCCCACTGCACGCTCCAGATGGGAGACAGACCACAGGCAGACTGGACTCAAGCTGTTACTGCAGAACCTACACTAGGAACATTTCTCCCTTCTCTGTGTTAAAGTGTCTCCTTACCTTGTACTTATATTATTAAAAATGTACTGAGTTTGGGTTAAAAACCAACCACCAAATGGATCTCAACACAGATTTAAAACCCAGAAGAGGAGCATTGAGGAGATTTCACAGCAACTCCTATGGGCCCC